AATGAGCATAAAATTCAAGGGGGAAAAAGCATACTTCTGTACTTCTCGGTACTTCTCCGTACTTCTTGATACTTCTTCGTACTTCTTCGTACTTTTTTGTACTTCTCCGTACTTCTGAAGTACGAAGAAGTACGGAGAAGTACCAAGAAGTACAGAAGTATGCTTTTTCCCCCTTGATCCAATCTCATACTATTTCCGCCATTTTGTTTTCCAATTTGATAAGTATCCATACATTTAATCATGATTAGAGCAGTCACACTACATTTAATCGCGATTAACACTAATCGTGATTACACTATTCATCTTTTAATCAAGCATAAAGTTAATCATGATTAGCAGATTAATCGTGATTAAGGCTGTAGTATGACCCTAGTGTTAGTTCGATCAACATTTAGCGAGTAGTCCTTCAGAGTCTTGATAAAAGAAAAGAAAAGAAAATGTAGTTTGGACACTAAAAGTGATCTATGTGATTCACTATTAACACAAGACTTTAAGCTCAATCTACTTAAAAAGACTATGGAAATATAAAAGAAACAGTCTTAGTGAATTGTAACAGGAGTATAGTATCAATTGATCGTTCCTTACTTTGACTTTTCAAATTGTTAACCTTTTGGAATAGTAATAATACTAATCAGGGAATGGAGCAAAGATGCGTATGAGACATGAGAGAGATAAAAAAGATTTTTCTTTCATGAAAAATTTACTTATATGTATATAACGGGTGCGGCAGTATATGTATATAACGTGTGTCACCTTTCCCTAATCGAGACTCCCGGTCAAAGTCCCGGAAAAAAGTCCTACGAGAGTCCCACGGAAGTCCCGTCACGGGGTCTTGTCGGGAGTCCCGCGGGATTTTTGATAAACTCCTGCGGGAGTCCCTATAAAATCCCACAAGAGTCTCTCAAGACAGCTCGGAAACGTCTTAAATTCAATATTCAACTCTTTTCTGCATTTTGAGATCTCTTCGGACTCTAGAAAATCTATTCTCAAAAAGTTATGGCTTAAAATCCCGCTAGCTATGTTTCGATTTATTTTTTGGAAAAGTATTACTCGCCGTTTTAATCATAACTTTTTGAGGTTATATTTTCTAGAGTCCGAAGGAATCTCAAAATGCAGAAAACAGTTGAATATTTAATTTAAGACGTTTCCGAACTGTCTATGATTTCACTATGTTTTACTCGGACTTTTCTTCGAGAACATAGTGCAATCAAATTTTAATGCGTTCATCGAGCAGACAATGCTTTTCTCATGTTATAATTTTAAATTATAACTTATAATCTCCATCTGAAAAGGAAAAAGCAGTATGAATAAAGGGGCAGGTAGTAAATTCAGAAGATGTACACGGCAAATCACGTCACAGATTACTTTCGAACAAAATTGTTTCTGATTAGCAACTGCACAGTTATAATGTGCATAATGCACAACGATGATAGGAGCACAGTGGGCATTCAGGCGGACATATGGTCAAAAACTTGAAGTTTGCTTTTTCTTCACTTGAAGATCGTCCTTTACACTTCAACTAATGGGCTATCTAATGGCAAAAATAATTTTTGTTCGAAGTCGGTTCCTAGCGGAAAAAAGTTAAACGGAAGATTCTCTTTATAATTTGGTAGCTATTTGAAAAAGGTCAATTTTCTCCTCGTAGATTTTGATTAAACTCCAACCTTAGAACATATTCGGAATCAGCAGAGTTTAGGCTATTTGTCAGAATGAAAAAAATTTTCCTCATACACTCAGGCTAAAGAGAATTTCGGCATCTTTCCAAAAAAGTGCTTTTCCCAAATTGTAATCTCAGTACAAAGAGTTTTCCAAGCTCATAGAACCTTTATTTTTTCCTAAAATGAACCTTATGACCTCCTACACTTATGGTATTAGCGTAAAGTTGCGTAGCTTTAACTGAAGTTCTGGAGAGATTTCCGAAGACTCCTCGGTTTTTGAGGTAAAATGGGCCTTTTCGCATCTTAAAATCATCTTTTCTTGTATGATATATATATATATTCGGAATCAGTGTGAAAACCCGCATCGAATGATGTATAGCTTCTTAATTTTGTGTCAGAAATATTTTCGATCAAATTGAATTATACAGTTGAGAGCCTCCCCGCAGCAAATTTTACCTGACAATTTGGATACTAGTTTTAGCAATAGTGTGAAAGTCTATACACACGTTTTTCTATGAGTTTTCGAATATGCTCTTTCCAATGGTGAGGTTTTAAAAATGCAAAAATATTTTTTATGGGTTTTCCCGAGATCCGATCTCCAGAAAACCCATAAGAAATTACTTTTGGGTTCTAAAAATCTTACCATTGGAAAGAGCATATTCGAAAACCTACAGAAAAACGTGTTTATAGACTTTTGTACCACTTCTACAGCATATGTCCCCCTGCTCTATAGAAAAACGCCCACTGTGAGGAGGTATCAGTACCAAGAGAGAAAAAATCGGCATTCTGTCCGTACCTCTCAGTTTTCACCATCAGAACTCACTTTTTTATGCAATGAAAATACTATATTCAGAGTCAGCGTCAAAAACTGAATCGAATGATATACTTTTTCATCCTCTCCGATCACTTTTGCTTTTTTAGAGTTTTCACATCGAAAAATACTCAGATTTTCACCAAAAAATGAAAATCAACGAAAAATTTTGAAACATATATCATTCGACTCACTTTTTGACGCTGAGTCCGAATATAGTATTTTCGTTGCATAAAAAATGAGTTCTGATGAAAAACTGAGAGATGCGGGCTGCATTCCGATTTTTTTCTCTCCTGATTTAGAAAAACATGAATTTTCTCAGCAACGAAACAAAATTTGAAAAAAAGCTAGTTATAATTTGGACGCCGACACTTCAGCGAATATAATGGGATGCAAATGATAGTTCCAACCCTTCACACAAAAACTAGATAGGTTTCCAAAATGACGTATCTGAATTCTAGAGGTCTGAATTAGGAGATCCGTCAAAAGTAGACCTTTGACTTCGGAATAAAGATAACCCCATTATTAAACGCAGTCATTAAAGCTGAATCAGAAAAAATACTATAGAAACTAAAAAAGTAAAAATCTTGATCGAAATTTGAATTTTTTGAATACTTAGTCATTTTTCGAGCTTCGAGTGGTTCTGAGTTTTTTCGATTTTTCGGCACGAAGAATAGTTTTTGAAACTTAAAAAGATATATTTTCTTAACCAACTCTATCGAATGGTGCATAATAAATTGAAAAAACAAATTTGCTACACTTTTGCATTACGCGCACCTTACTTTGCTCTAAAATTCTTAGAAAAGGAGGAAAAGAGGACAAAAAAGAGTGCTTCACCAGAAAAAGAGGATGAATCAGAGGTCAGGGGGTACCCTTAATAAAGTAGTGATTGCCTCATAAAAGTTGGTTGAAACGGACTTTATTGTAGATCATGAGAAAGAGCGCACTTAGTTGTACTCGAAAACTTACTCTGTCGTGTTATTATATTTGCGAAAGAGATAGAAAAAAGGGCAAAACTGTTCAGGAAAACCACTTTTGAAAGTTGAACATGTTGGAGCTTCTCAGTATTATTTATATAATTTTTCTTCTTTAAGTTTTACGACAAAGGTTTTGATGTATTCTTGTAGAGAAGTGAATGGCAGAATGCAATAAAAGATGACAGAGTTATTGACATTTATTATGCCGCACCCGTTAGATTAAGGTATTATAGTAGAGTACATTACCCAGATTATTAATAATATCTTGATATGGTAAATAGGAGTACAGCGCTATTTGTTGACACAAAGGTTGTACTTGTGTCAATAAAAGTTGTTCAAATGTCTGTTGAAGATTCAAATTTTTTAAACGATATATATTGAGATTAACAAACATTCCAATAACATTTTGATAATGACGACGATTTGAATTCAAACCTCCAACGAATAAATCGATTTGATTTGTCAATTTATACAGTAGAAGAAAATATGATGCTAATAGTAGCTGAAACATTGTTACACCATGGTGACTATTCTTAGAAATAAAGTTAAACATAGCCGATGTATTATCAATTTGGAACAGATATGTTCGACCGACATTATTATTGTTATTATTGATTCTAACTGAATCGTACGGTAATAATAATAAATGATGTTGATATGACGATAATAGCTGCATCCAAAATAATTTTGCCTGATCTATTGATTCCAACTGTTTGCAATCGATGAACTGTGAGAGAGTTTTATTCGATTCTAGTCGACTGTTTGTATAAGCCAGATTCAGATCGTTAAAAAATAATTTCAATGAATAACCATCTAGAGCAATATGATGAAAATTAAAAATAATCCAATCATTTTCTTCCAACAAATCTTCATCAACTCGTTGGTGTTGTTGTATGACATGGCATCGTACAACAACACCTTGTTCCAAATTGAAATGATTGTCACCATTGATTTCATTCACCAGTATCTGTTCAATGACGTCGTCGTTCGTGGTCTTTTCAATACAACTTCGTTGAAATGAATAACAACAGTCGTCATTATCAGATACAGGTTGAACGATCTGTTTCAAACAATTATCATAAACAATTTTTGTTCTTAATATTGAATGTTGACGAATAACACTTCGTATGGATAAATGTAATCGTCTAATAGATAGTGTTCGATTCGGTGGTAATGTGAATAGAACTGGAATATTGTAAATCGAAACTGGAATCTTGTGCAAATATAAATCAAGCCAAATTCGTTCTTGACTGGGTGATGCACACGCTATCATTGTAACTTGGAATCAATATTTCGGTAGAAACTCATATTAATCTCTTTCTACTACATTTAGGTACACTCTAAAAGAAGAAAGGGTCATGTACAAAATATAAAGGGTTTAGAAAGAGGGGTACCGTAGATGTCAAAAATCTTCTACTAAAACCTTTTTATGACGGGCAGTAAACCCTAAAAAAAGGTTTAGGGCAGTGTTTTTGACGCCTACGATACGTTTTGAAAATGTAGAAATTCTGCTCAAAACTGAAAATCCTTAGAGCCCTTCATGGTGTTTTTAACTACGCTTGTTTGTGCAATTCATTCAAGAAAAAAATTCAACTTTTATTGCTAAACAGAAAGTCTTGTTTATCTCAGTTGGGATGCATTTTTCTGGAGTAGTATCTAGAAGAGAAAATGTGGAGAATGAAACGCTGAAAATCCTCAGAAGGTAGTCGATTTACCTGAAAACGTTTCGTTCTCAAGATAAATCGTTTTTAATATTTTTCTTCAAAGTATCAGTGCTATTTCTGCAAAACAACAAACTGCAAACTGATCAAATTTTACAGCGATTATTAAATATTATACTCCAGTTTATAGGACCGAGTTGTTTTAGCAGAAATAAGACTAATATACTTTTGAAGGAAAACATTAAAACGATTTATCTCGAGGATGCTAAGGAATTTTAGTTATGTGCAGAATTTCATTCTCCGCACTTTCTAGCACATGCGCCATCTCAGAAAAATACTTCGCAACTGAGATAAACACAATTTTCTATTTAGCAAAGCAAATCATTTACGACGATCGTATACGGCTGAACATAAAATATCGCAGTATTCTTTTTAGGTGGTTCGCACTCAGCAAAAAGAAACAAAAGTGGAGTGTTCTTCCTTTGAATTCTATATCTGGAAAAAACGAGCAGCAAAAATAAAAAGAATAAACGATCATGCGCATAGGACATCAGCAAACAAATCACGCTCTCAGCTTTCTAAAATAAAGGAATCTAAAAGGGACTTTCTCTCTCGCAGGAAAAGCTTTTACATACTGTCTCTTTTTATAAAAATGTGACCAGACTGACTATGCGTGACTATATATACCCATACAAACAATAAAAGGAAAAGTGAGAGATGACACAATCTTGAAGTATACACCAGTATTAGTGTTTTACTGAAAACACGGACGTCAAAAACAATCTTTTTAATTTCATGACAGAATTACATATCAGAATCTTTGAAATCTACCAACAGGGCGCATGTTGCTCTGATATGTCATGTTTCGTAGGATGTTTACACCGATTTATTGTCGGCATTTCAGTGAATTTACCTTAGACTACTTTCACTTTATCTTTTATCTGTTATCAACACCGTGAAAACGTGTGGTGACAGAAAAAGTAAAACGCAAAAACTGTTAAGAGTTAACCATTAATAGACGCTGTTCCCATAGTAACAGCCTCGACTACCATATTAGAATTTGAAAAAGCTTTTTTATGGTCGATTATGGTCATAATCGAACTGGGAATGCAAGAAAACCTATAGGAAGTTGCTTTTATGAAAACCTAAGTTTAAACTACTGCGATAAAACCCAGGTATACTTCATTTTTAAAAGTTGAATAATTCGTGAACCTTACATGGTACATTCTCCAAAGTTGTAGAGAATATAGTTCATATGCCACTCTATAATAACAACCTTAAGCGGTCTGTCGAAAAAAGGGAGAACATGTTGTAAAATTCATCGCGGTGGTGATCAATTCGCATTGAGAGTGGCGCCAAATCCGATAATTCCCTTGACTGTAAAGGAAGAGGTCTTATCGAGTTAAAATGCCTGTATGTATGTTTGTATGTTTGTATGTATGTCCGCAGACTAGATACTAGCGACAGACAAACTAGTATAGCAAAAGTTGATTGGCTGATAATGATACGTAGTAGGTAGTTCACTATGGGCAATCAGAAAATGAGTATGAGCGACCTGTACGAGGATTCCTATTGGTCGAAAACATCATTTCCGCATTAATGGATGAAAATGATACGTAGTAGATGGTTCACGAAAATGAGTTTGTGCAACCTCTACAATGGATTCTAGTGATCGAAAACGTCAGCGAGTTTATTCATGATTGATCGTGCTTGTTGGAAATTTCCTCCAGAGTGTATGTGAACAGGAAAAAGCATTGTTTTATTCCTTGGAAACAGTATTTTGAAAAAAATTTACTTTGAGAACAGTATTTTCTGGAAAAAGAACTACATTCGTGCATTTTGATAACGATATAATGTCGGTGTGTTTAATGTTTCCAATCTACGTAATTCACTTGTTTGGTCAGATGTTGGTTGGACTAACAATGACTTGTAAGGAAATGGTCGATATATTGCTAAATCTTCCAGACGTTTGACACCAGATAAGGGAACGTATGCTGACGCTGTTTCAGCGTTTTTCGATGTTAGATAAACCAAATCGACAATAATCTTAGCCATTGTTTGTCCCTGGCTTTTGTGTGTTGTTATGGCGTATGCTGGCACAAATGGTAGTTGTTTTCGTGTTACGGTTATTCTTGTGTTTCGCAGTGGTTTGTGAACTGCTTTTGATAACAACGGCTTTACGTCGACTTGGAATCTCTTACTTATAAGAGGAATGGGGATAATGTACTTTTCTAAATTTTCTAATTTTTCCTCTAATTTTGATTTTGGAATTTCCGCTAAAGCATATAGTGGCTTTTGTATGAATACTGTGTAATGAATTTTGCCTGAATTTTGCCTGCTGAAATTCTTCAGTTTTTTTGAAGTTTTGACCCCCAAAACGCTTTTTCAGAAGCATAAAGCACATATATTCTGACGCAGCTCGACGAACTGCACCCGACCATGTATATATTTTTCTGAAACTCTGTTGAATTACGTACTCCTTACTTTCTGATCGAACCGGGGCAGAAAGTTGCCTGAGCATATTAGATCCGATTATTATTATAATATTATATATTATATATATTATTTATTATCGAATTCATTAAGACCTTACATCGGTTTTCACTCTATTTTATAGCATTTCCGGCTATTGGTACTGGTAACTATGGTATACCCTGCGATCTGATTGCTTCGGCAATGATTACACAGGCAAAAGAATCGCTGGAACAACAGAAACTGTTGCAACTTTCAGTATCGTTTGTATTACTGAGACAACAACTGATAGATCACGATGAATTTGTTAAACAGTTGGCAATAATTGCACCACAGAACCACGTTAAACCGACCGCTTTTATTTCTTCTGTCACTACTACACAATCTCCCGAAAAGAATTCTAATACATTGCGCACTTTTTTTGGAAAACTTTTTGGAAGTTCAAACTCGAGTACAACATCAACTGCAGAATCAGCAATTCCGCCGCCCCCACTACAAAAGTCGATTCCATCAGTAGAACCGATAACACTAGAATTTGACAAGAAAAGTAAGTCGGTAGCTGCTTGTGAAGCTCTTCTTTTCTCACTGCTTTGTGAGAAGCTTGAACTTTGATAGTTTTGAACTTTCATAGTTACACAAGTTATTTTGACAACTGCTGTCAAGAACTGGCAAAATATTCACAAATGTCACTACAAAATTACCGAAGAAAGTAAACAGAGTACAGTAAAACGGAACTTGAATCAAAAATCTGATTTATGTGACACAGTAAACTTTAAACAGATATTTTCAGTTCTGTTTACAGCGAAACGTATTGGTTAAAATGGATATTAAAAATGGGACAATTGAACTGGAAGGACCAAGTGAATCTAGTGTAAGATTTAACTACTTTTGATAAGTGCACAGAAAGGTCGGCGCGGTCTTGATTGACTGATTTAAAAATCAAAGTCGCGAGCTGAACTTTTCTTAAGCGCGTGACTCATGATATTGTGTCGGGAATTGCGATGAATAATCACTGTTTTGTTTCCTGACTACGAAATATAGAAAAGAACGAGACAAAACTTTGTATTTTAAAATGTTATACAAAGTATTTTTCTCGTTCTTTTATATATTTCTCGGCTGCGCAATAAAACGATGACTGGTGATTTACCATGATTCGCGACGCGAGAAACAATTTTTCACTCAAAATAAAAGAATAAGAAGTATGTTAAGAATCTTGTCACGACTGCAAGAGTTGCATCAGAAATCACAGCGATCATGGAGTTAATGAAAGAAACGCTCAAAAAAAACTAGCCAGGATAAGGCGGTGGCTTGACTCCTAGAAACTCCTCGGTATTCTTCGTGACTTCGCTGAGCCCGAAGAATTTTCCTGACTGTTTTTGAATTTTCTCGCCTTTTTTCCTCTTAGTCCAATTTTCAGTCATTTTTATAGATTTTCGGTATTTCACTGGATTCTAATCCCTTTTTCCGATTTTTTCTTGCACTTCCAGGGATTCCTCCAGTTTCTCGAACTTTGGGAAGTTTGTATAGGATTCTCCAGGCTTCAGTAAGTCTGGGAGTCCACAGCTGCTTAAAATTCTGCTGTTTCTCCCTTACGTTTTTAAGCGTTGAAAACAAGCACTTTAGGAGGCAGTGCACGATAGAAGCGTTGCTCAATGAACTTTGACAAATGTTTGTCAACTTTTCAGAGCAGATAGAGAAATGTGTCCTGAACATTTTTGCCTCTTGACATTTTTATCCAAAGTGCTTTTCCTCGACACTAGAGCGCTTGCAGAAAAGGTCGTAAAATACGGAAAAAAAGCGATTTTCCAGTCGAAACTTTTGCTTACGCTATAATTCCGTCAAATTTCTACCAGAGCTGTCTTGGTACGAGTACAATCTATGATAAAAATCTAAGCTCATTAGCATTTGATTTGACGGAATTATAGCTTAAGCAAAATTTTCGACTGAAAAATCGCTTTTTTCCTTTTCTGCAAGCGCTCTAGTGAAAAAATACTATTTTAAGTATGAGCCGATATATTGTTTTGAAGCTCAGCATCTGGCGGATCTAGCCACGTAAAACTGTTGACTCTAGCACCTCCAGAAAAACCTGTGTTAGGTTTGCAAATTTTGCCTGACGCTTTTGGGTCAATCCGATTTCTGCT